GCTATAAGTCCTGATACCTTAGAAGACCCCATATGCACTGAGACTGCATCACCTCTACAAATCAGGAGGAGCAGGTCATCTGCAAAACTAAGTTGCACAATGTTTAGCTTTTCATATCTAGGTTGAAAATTGAAGTCTGGCTTCTCTTTTATTTGATCATTCTTTCTTCTTCTTTTTTTCAGCTATCCCTCCGCTCCATTATCCACATATTTAAACGCGAGATGTACATTTTTTTTCTGCCTATGGGAATTCAGTAGATTTGGATTTACTAGGTGCAACTGTAATCCAAATTTAGATCCTTGTTTTGGGCAAAACAGCATATATTTATTTCTTTGGATTAATAAAGATTTAAGTTGGAATATGATCATATTCATATTGGGTTTTAACTTTCTGTCCTAAATAATAATTTGTGATGTGATTGGCTACATCGAATAGGCATAATTACAAGTCAAGACTACCCACATTTATTGATGATGGCTTTGACAAAATGCTACACTCGTGGCCCACTTCACCACCCCCTCAGACATTTCCATTAAGGAAAAAATTACATGATGTAGCTAACTTATACATTGTATTGATCATTTATAACTATACTTTTATAAAATTATAATTCATAGCTATATTTGAATTTTACAGCAAATTTATTTGTATTTCTGTATTCCGGCAAAATCCTGTATTTCTGTATTTCGCCTTAATTTGCACCATGTATGCATTTTTTTCAAGTATGGGATGTTTTTTTTGTACCATATATGTTTGACGGTATTTTGTCATTATGTAAAAATGTATACACTCCATGTATTTTTATTGTTTGTATCCTTGTATACACCCCTATATTTGTGTATTTCGTATCGATTGTATTTGTTGCACGAACGAGTACAGTTGATACAGGTTATATTAGTTGCTCGAACGAATACAGTTGACACATTCTGTATTCGTTGCGCGAACCAATATAGTGAATATGGACGGACATATGACAAGGGAAGATTTGCTACGAATGGTAAATATTGAAACAATAACTGTGAATTGTAATTAGATATACAACTGTAATACTTTATGAAATTTCCTTTTTCCATTAATAACAAATTAAGTTATAGTTATTTTGCTGTTATACAAATAACAATTTATATTATAGTGGTACTGTTTACCCGTAAAACAGTACAGTTGAATTTGTATCGTGGTTTATAAATACGTGGATTAAATTGATCCGTGAAAATAAAATAATGAAGAGTAAAGCGAGTAAAATAAGAATAATTGAAGAAAAGACAAACATGGGCCTCGGAATATTCCCACTGGGATCTAGAATAATTGAAAAATCTTGACAACATTTGTATAAAGCTTAAAAGAACGAGAGAAAGAATACTAGTATTTTGCTATTAGTATTTTTTTATGTCTTACAATAGAATGAAAGCCTCTATTTATACTAGAGTTATTATTGGGTGTATGATATACAAATTATACCCCCTTAATTACCAATATTAATGCTGCAATAAAAGATAATTAAAAGGTGATAAAAAATAATAATGGGTAATAAAGGTCAGTAGAATCTTGGGGTGTTCTATAACGTTTCTGTAACGATCATATCTTGAATTGCTTCTTATCCGGCCACAGGATTATATCCGGTATCAGCACGGTTGACCGGTCATTATTGACATGTGTCGCTTCCTCATTCACCCATCTCTTGAGATGTCTTGCAATTCAAAATTCAACATACTAAACAAAACAAAAAAGGAAACGGAAAAGGGTCTGATCTGTCCCTCTACTATGATAAATTATTTAAATTTATCCTCCGTTATACTATTGGACCATAAAACTCCCTGTCGTCTTACTATTCGAACACATATACCCCTTCTTTGACGGAGGGGACACGTGGCACGTATCCAAGGCTCTAAAATTAAACTTGACCCGTCCCATTACCCAGAACCCATAACCTAACCCTCTTCTTCTTCCACCTTATCCCCATTCATTTCTTTCTTCTTCCACGACCACCTCCCCCTACACTCGCCGTCGCTGCCAAATAAGATTGGAAGTATAGTGGAGATCTGAGACACCCCATATAGTGCTACTCAGTTGGATCTTGAAATGCCAAAGAAGAGGTTGCTGCAATTCTGAGGCAATTTTATTGTCATTTTCACAAATAGGAAGTCCAAAATTTAAGGAACAGGCTTACATCTTATGGGAATTTCTGAATTAAGTTGAATCTTTCATTAGGACCTAGACTGAGTTTAGAAAAAATAGTTGCTAATTTTGAAGATCAATGACCAAATATCACTGCTGTGTTAATTTTTTTTGCTTGTGGTAACCAAAAATTGGCAACATTTAACATCATCTTCAAAATGGTGATGAAAATGATTTTTGGTGATATATGTAAAAGTGAGTTGCAAAGGGGTTTATTAATAATGGTAAAATAGAGAGGAAAGAATTGTGTTCAAGGTAATTTCCAAATGGAGGTGCTGTAATTACCCAGAAACAAAACCAATTGGCTAATGTTGCTACACTTCCAGCTAGATTTTTGACCTCTTGTGTATATTTCTCCAGATCTGTGTATAAATATGTGTGTAGGTATAGACAAAGGGGAAGAGAAAGTGCGAGGTGACAAATCTGAAGATTCTCCATCGTTTTCGGCGAGTTCACTGGTGGAAATTCCGGCCATGGTTATAATAGTGAGAAGGAAAAGAGGAGAGAAAGAGATTAGAGAAGCAATGTTGGTGGACTTTGGGTCGGGCAATGATTTTTTTGAAGTGAATCGGGTTAAAAGAAATGAGATGGGTCAATTTAATATGTGCCCAGATGTAAAAAGGGCACAGATTGGTGCCACATGTCCCCTCCGTCAAAGAAGGGGTATATGTGTTCGAATAGTAAGACGACATAAAGTTTTATGGTCCAATAGTATAACGGGGGACAAATTTAAATAATTTATCATAGCAGAGACAGATCACATATTTTTCCGAAAAGGAAATAAAGAAAAAGTACTAGGAAAAAGGTACTTCTATAAATAAATTTAAAAAAAAAAAAAGAGAGAGAGAGAGAGAGAAGCAAGATAGTGCATAAATTCAACTGAACCGTTGGTGTGCTTTGGAGGAGAATCCTGGGGGGCCTCATTTACCAAAGTGGCTTTCGTCTATCAAAACACTGTTGTTCCAATCATCAAAATCCAAATGAATAATAAATTCCCTTCACCACTGAAACTCTGAAACCCCATTTCTCTCCATTCCCAATTTCACAACAGCAGCACAAAAAAAAAATGGAGGCTCTTTTTGCTCAATTCACCATTCTTTCAGATCAAGCTCTTTGTGACAAGAACTTCGACCCTTACACCATAGAAGATGATCTGATGAAACTCTTCGAAGTGGAAGCTTACAAGGCTTGGGCAGCTATGGAATTAGATCAAGAAAATCAAGTTGAAGAAGCTGAGAATTACATGAAAGAAGCAGAGGATCATCTCAACACTGCCATGGAAGACGCCATGGAAGAATTCCGCCGTTTCGAGGAGGAAATGAACCAAATGGCTAAAGCTGAGTATGATAGCTTAGTGGGAGTTGCTGAAAGAGCAAGAAAAATGGGAAACGCTATGGAAAAATTGGCTACAGTTGCTGCTAAAAAGTATATTGAAAGTGCTCTTAACTCTGCTGGTGCCTCTATGAAATCTGCTATTAAAGCCATTTCTTCTCACAGCTCTAACAAGGTTCATCCTTCTTGAGGTGTCGGTAATTAATTATCTATTTCTTCAAATTGGACTAGACTTGCTCAATTATTAATGTGTCAGTCCTTGTTCTACTTGTTTAACTCTTGAATTTTGGTGGATGAAAAATTGCATAAATAAGTATCTGATCCTTGGACATTTTTTTCTTTAATTTGTTTTCTAATTAGTTGAAGCGATTTTGTTCGCTTGCTATAGCTGGAAAAAAAGAAGAAGAAAGAATGATCAAATAAAGGATCGATCAAGTTGTTGCTGTATTGGCATAAATTATCAATCAGAAACAAAAAAAATGGAGAAATGAATAGACAGCATATAAAATCGTGTATGGTATATAAAAGCTACTTATTCTTCTGATGAAAGCCGTAGCATATATGTACAAGAAAAAGAACCCAATCTTTGAGTTCAGTTTGCTGGTACATAGTTACTACTCCCTCCGTTTCAATTTATGTGAACCCATTTGACTGAGCACGGAGTTTAAGAAAAGATTGAAGACTTTTGAACTTGTGGTGTAAAAATGAGTCACATATATTTTGTGTGGCTATAAATCATTGCATTAAGATAAATTGTTTCCAAATAAGGAAAGAGGTCATTCTTTTTTGTACGGACTAAAAAGGAAATAGGTTCACATAAATTGAAACGGAGTGAGTATTACTCATGTGTGAAACAGAGAAAGTAATCCTTCATTTACATATAATACCGCCAATATTTTCTTGAACTGACATTGTCATTCGAACAACTTCATAATGGAATTTAAGCAGCAACACAGCTTTTAGCAGAGTAGCATATCAGCAATTAGGCACAGCTTTAACTTTGACTACTTAATAAAATACTGAAACGAGCTGTAGTTGACTACTTGAATGTGTTAATATAACATAATACTAATGAACTCACATTCCTTTGAATAATATATAGGGTTTGTAGAGTTCAGCTAGTCGAATGACGAGATTGATCCTTCTTTCTAAGTCTGTATGCAGCTCTTGCAAATGTTAGCAAAGTATCAAGTTTGCCCACTTTAATATCTGAAACATGTTAAAATATAAACTTAACCAGTGGTAACCTATCAATGTTCAAGTGCATGTCAACATTCATAAACACTTTTGTCTGTTTTTTTGATACATCTCTCTTGCGTACCATGGTCTTTTCCTCTTTTAGCTGTATTTATCATGAGTTTTCTAGTTTATACCAACTGATTTTCAACGAAAGAGAGTTTTAGTCTAACTGATTAGTGTTCTATATTAGAAATGTTGAAATTAATATGTGTTGTATCCCATATTTTTCCAATAAATGCATCTATAAGCACAAATAATCCAAGTTAGTACTGTCTACTTCATGGTCAAGTGAAGCCAAAAAGGCTAAAATTTTACAGTTTATCTAAGAAGACATTACTATGAAAACTAACCTTTAATAATGGCATGTAGTGGGTAGCTATGTATTTGTGAAGGCTAGCCATGCTATCCAGTAAATGAAATTTCTTGACTTTGACTGGCATTCCTCTTTCGTTAATCCATGGATTCTTCTTGAAGTATTCAGCGGAAAATTGCATAATATCAGTACTTTTTAGTGGATTCGTCCTAGAGGAGCTAATATGGTCAATAGCTGTATGGGAAGATCGATTTCTATGGGCTACCATAGCCGCGATGACTGAGTTCACAACCATATCTGCTGGAATCTGGGCAAAATTGCAAGATTGCATTAAGGAAGTGTGAATACTTAGGAACTCGAAGTGTAGATGAAAAAATTAAGACCGGCTGATGCAAACAAGAGAAACTTGCGCATTCCATTATGAGATAAGGTGTACACATGACTCACATACCACATCCAGTATTGATTCTCTATCACCCATCGCAACATTCTGTTTCCCTTTACCATAGCCAACAATAAAGGTGTCCATGGTTCTGTGGAAGGAAGAATCAGATTGGTTTCACTAAGACGTATTCTTCTTTTCCATGTGTGCATGCATGAATGGTATATAGTCATTACCTCAGTCCTTCATTCCATCCTGGGAACAGCTCCTTGTATGTGCTTGATATAATTGTTGGCCGAAGGATTATGAGTTGGAGATCCTCCTTCAGGTGTCCCAAAAGCATCTCTCCCATTGCTTTTGTTAACGAGTATGTGTTTGGCCATCCATGTATCTTTGCCCTGAAGAATCATAATTGCCATGAAAGGTGGGAAGGAACCCTATAAATCTTCAAAAGAATAGGGTACAAATACCCATCTTATCAATGAGACTGATTTTATGAAACTATTACCTCTCAATACCTAGAACTCTCATAGCTAAAGTTACTTCTTTTACAGTGGCATTCCTAGCTTTAAGGTCCATTAGTGTCTCCTCTACCAGCTTTTGCTCCACTTCTATGTCTAAGTGAGAGTTTCCATTAAGCGTCTCTTCAAAGTGCAATGGTTTCTCTAGTATCAATCCTTCCTTTTCTCCACATACATAGGCTGAAAAGAATCAGTCTTTATGTCAAGTCAATATGCCCAAAGTCATGACTATGAAAGTTGGTTAAGCACTACGAATAATATGGAGCTGACCTGTGCTTACATGGAGAAGTATCTTTAGTTTTGAACACTGCTTGGAAAATTTGAGAATATTCAGGGCACCCAATGCATTGATCCTTATTGCAGTATCATATCTGCAAAAGAATGGAGTAAGTTTTTGTTTTTATTTATTTTAGGACAAAGAATATTACTATTCTATGACTACCTTTCATCAAATCTAGTTGTAGCAGCTGAGTTTACAATTATGTCTATTTCTCTGTGCATCTCATCTTTCAGCTCAGAATTTATCCCCAAACTATCGCAAGCTATATCCCCAGGAACTGGGAAAACCTTGTCTTCTATAAGCTTATGTAGGTCGGCACCCAACTTCTCCCTTAGAACTCTGAACAGATCCGTCTTTATGACCTGCCATTAAAACATATTCTTTACTGATCACGTCGAGCATTGAACTCTGATAATCTTGAATTCTCATGTGACTACAGAATGGAGTTGTAGTCTAATGTGATGAGTGATGTATTATTTCTACTGGTACTATATACGACCATATATACAGTAGTTTTGGTAGTACCTCGTTATTAAAATGTTCTTTAGCTGAATTTGAATCTGGAGCTCTTATTAGCAAGTAGAGCTTCTTCAAATTTGGCTGGACTCGTAGTATCTTCTCGATGAGAACTATAATATATAACAAATGCACTAGTAATATCATCTGTGTAGTCCTCTCCTCAAGAAGCACTGTTAGTGCAACCTATATATAGTAGAGAGAAAGTGATAGAGAAAGTACTCTTTGCTAGGTAGCCAGTTGCACCAATGATGAAAATGGCCTTGCCCTCGAGAAACTGGTCAATGCAGAGCACGATTCCATTGATGAAGAATGTTCACAGAAGTGCGCTGAGAGGAAATTTATGGGGGTCAAATTCATATTGTAAATCCTTGTACATAAGATATTATCAGGGAAGAAGTACTGGAAAACTATGTATTGCAGGGAAATTGTACTGGAAAACTAATTAAGTGATGCATTTGCACATATGCAAAATCACCTGGATTTCTTGAATGCTTCTACTTATGTAGATATGTTGATAGAGTCCAGTACCTACTATATATGCTGAAATTTTCTAAAGACAATATGGGGAGTACCCGTATTATGTGATACGTGACTAGTTAGATACCAATATTCAAAGAGAAATGAATACTACCCATTTGTGCAGTTGCAACTGTAGACCTGTCCAAATATTTATACTGAATCACCAAAGTCTCTTGTCATAGGCTGCGGCTTGCAGCATGGGATGTTACTTTAGTTAGGTGCGGCTTAATAAAATATCTTAACTTAATCTTTGCAAATATAAACTCTGCTGCACGCATCCGCTTCCATCTATTTAAGCGGTCTTTAAAGTTATTATCAATTTTCATTTGAATATTTAAACTAAGGCTTGTCCGTATTAAACACTTCAACGTAATTCAAGTTGTGCTATTGAACACTCGCCATCGCATATGAACTTACCATAAAGATCATTTTCAAGGTAAAATTAATGTATTAATTCGACTCGGCGGTACGAGGACAATGAATGGAATCGCAGTAATTAGCACTTTTGGTTCAAAATCAACCACATATTGGTAGATACAATGTACTTCAATTAACGTGTAATAACATAGTCTAAGAACTGAATCGCTATCACGTAAATCTTACTACAACTGCTACGTGGAATCTCAACAACAATAACAAATACGCCACAGTTTAAACGAGTGAAGTCGACTATATGAATTCTCATTGATTATGTTTATCCAATTAAATGCATCTTAGGCCAACTTTATGCAAATATAAAATTTAAATTCTGTAACATATTTATGGAAATTGTGACGTAACAGTTAATTTATTAGTAGAAGGTTATAGAGCGCCAAATAGTAGCTTAGGCGGGTTCTACCAAAAGTTTAATTATATTCGACACTGCTTTTATATGATACTAATAGGGGTGTACATAGGTCAGTTGGTTCGGATTTTTCAATTATCAAACCAAATTAATAGTGTCGGGTTATTAAATTTATAAACCAAACCAAACCAACAAAGTCGGATTTTTCAATCTCGGGTTTTCTCGAATTTTTCGGATTTTTTCGGATTTTCGGATTTTTTCCGGTAAAGTTTTCATAGCATAAAATATGTAACTTGTGCTCCAAATATTTCTTTAAGTCCTAATAAAATACAACTATATAATATGTTTTCCAAGAAACTAACACAATAATATGAGTTAAGTGATCATAGCATTATACTAAAATATTCAATAACAAAGATAAAATAATAAAATTACATAAAATAAATGTTGCTAATTAATAAGCCATAATAAAAATTAACATAATCTAAAAATACTATATAGGTCATGCTAAAATAAGTATAGCTAATACGCACTAATATTAATTATATAACTAAGCACTAAAGAAAAATATAAACTAAGTTATGCATTTTCATTATAAACCAATGTAAAACTAAAATAATTATCCAACATTATCGTCATTCCTAGTATTGAATTGAATTTCTTTTTTTAGCATTAATATTGATTTGAACTTTGTTTGAGTTACTACATTTATGGGTTATAAAATTTATTTACCATTCAAGAATATTAAGTCTAAACTTGAAATAATACGTTAAAAGATAAAACTGTGAAAAAGTTTAAGAAATATTTATAAATTACATTACAATAAATATTTATATGTATAAAATATTTTTAAAAATTATATAAATGTACTATCGGGTTGGTTTGATTTCGATTTGAATTTTTTTAGTTAAAACCAAACCAAACCAATTATGATCGAGTTTTATTTTCCAATACCAAACCACATCGGGTTTTATTCCATCTCCAACCATTGCAATAACTTTTCCAAGACCATGTTGATTAATTAAGAAGAATTAAAAACCAGCATAACAATAGAAAATAATTTCTCATAAAGCAAATCCTATTTGAGCCTAAGGTGCTATTGGATTAATCCATATCCATATTTTAATATGCTTTTGCAGTGACTACTGACATGTACTTGCGTCCCATATCCTGAATTCATAGCACAGGTAGTACATAAATAAGAATATAAATATAAAATATGAGGTAAAAATGATATAGTTTCCTCTGTATCATTTTTAAGTAATTTTTTTTATTGGACACATAATTTAACAATTTTTTTTAAAAATTTATGGTCTAAACCAAATAAATTTTAAAATGAAGCAGTAATGCAACGACATGATTATTATAACCACTTTGATTCTTTCAATTATCTATAATCTTATGCTCTTTTGACTGCCACGTAGTGCATTTCCTAGCCACACCAATAGTTGTAATTCCTCCGTTAAATAGGTACGTATTCAAAATCATATTTATATTTATTATGAAATAAAAGTAATTTAGTAAAACATGAACAAGAAATAGAGATAAAGAGAAGGAAGAGAATTTATTTCTTCTTCAATTGTGTGATCTTTCCATCTATTACAAGGCATTTACTGTAACGACCCGGCCGGTCGTTTTGAGTATTACAACCCCATTTCCCCATTTACTGCTCAAATTGTACTTTACAGTTGTTGTGTGAATTGCCGGGGCAATTGGTTTGGGTCCGGTGAGGTTTTGGAATAAAATGAAACAGTTAGTTCCAAGGTTTAAAGCTTAAGTTAAAATAATGACCGGATGTTGACTTATGTGTAAACGACCCCGGAATGGAGTTTTGATGATTCCAATAGCTCCGTATGGTGATTTTGGACTTAGGAGCGTGTCCGTAAAATTATTTAAAAGTACGTAGTGAAATTTGGCTTGAAATGCCGAAAGTTAAATTTTTGGGAAGTTTTGCCGAGGGGTTGACTTTTTGAAATCGGGATCGGAATCCGATTCTGGAAATTTAAATAGGTCCGTAATGTGAAATGTGACTTGTGTGCAAAATTTGAGGTCAATCGGACGTGATTTGATAGGTTTCGGCGTCGTTGTAGAATTTGAAAATTTCAAATTTTTTAGGCTTGAACCCGTATGTAGTTCGTATCTTAGAGGTTGTTTGATGTAATTTGAGGCCTCGAGTAGGTCTGTGGTGTGTTTTAGGACTTGTTGGTGTATTTGGACGGGGTCCCGAGTGGCTCGGGTGAGTTTCAGATGGTTAACGGATCAAATTTGGACTTAAGGAAATGCTGGAACTGCTGCCTACTAGTGTGATCGCACGTACGAAAATTTTGATCGCAGGTGCGAAGCCGCATGTGCGCGAAATCAGTTGCAGAAGCGGCCAAGTGTGGAACTGGGCAGTGTTCGCAGGTGCGAAGAATTTGCCCGCATCTACGAGGCCGCATGTGCGAAGGGTTGGCACAGAAGCGGAAAAGGGTGAGGAAGTCGGGCAGCGCAGGTGCGGAATTTTATCCGCAGGTGCGGAGTCGCATCCGCGCTTGACTCTCCGCAGAAGCGGCCTGGCTAGCAAATGTGCCCATTTGTCCGCAGAAGCGAGGGTCGCAGGTGCGACCCCTTCTCCGCAGATGCGGAAATTGACTGGCCAGAACCTTAAAATTCGAGGGTTCAACATTTTCACCCATTTTTAGATTTTGGAGCTCGGGTTGGGCGATTTTAGAGAGGAAATTTTCCACACAACTTGGGGTAAGTGTTCTTAATTCCCTTGTGATTATATTCCATGAATTTATCTTCATTTTTGGTGTAAGATAATCTTCAAGAGAAATAGAAGGAAATTTCTATAATATCACAAAACGAATTTTTCAAGTTTGAATACCGATTTGGAGTCGGATTTGAGTGAAATTAGTATGGTTGAACTTGTAATTGGATGAGTTGTCGTATTTTGTGAGTTTTATCGAATTTCGAAACATGGGCCCCACGGGTAATTTGTGGGGCGTAATTTCGGATTTTATGGAAAATATTAGCGTTTTGATATGGAATTAATTCTTATAAATTGTGTGGACTGAGTCAAATTGTTGTGACTAGATTCGAGCCATTTGGAAGTTGATATGCGTAGAATGAAATTTCTGGAGCATTCCTTAGCTTGCTCGACATTGGATTTGGCTTGTTTGAGGTAAGTAACTCTTCTATTCTTGGAGTTGAGGGTATGAACCCTGAATATATGTATTTTATGAATTGTTCAGAGGTGACGCACATGCTAAGTGATGGGCGTGTGGGCGTGCACTATAAAAATTGTGACATAATTGTTTCTGTGAAATTTTGTAGTTAAATAATCTTGGCATTTTTCATGCAATTTTATGTGTTAAAGAAATTGAACTGAAAAGCATATTAAAAATCATGTTGAGGCTATGTGCCAGTATTATTGGGACCCACAGAGGTCATATTGATGTGAAATATTTATTTTAAATTGAAAATTCATACTCTGTCATATTCATTTCTTTGCATATCATATCTCAGTCTCTGTTGTTATTTATTGATACATCATATCATCATTTTGGGATATTCTCATGGCATTGTGAGCCCATGAGAGAGAGACTGGAGAGATTGATGACTGAGGGAGGCCGAGGGCCTGATTGTGAGGATATTTTTGGGATCAGGCTGCACGCCGCAGCAGGCCATGTTGGCTTTATATATATTATTACTATTATATGAATCGGGGTTGCCCGCCTGCAACAGGCCTTATTGGCTTATTATTGCACGTGAGTTGGCCGTGCAGATCCTTATATTATTATTGCATGTGAGTTGGCCGTGCGGATCCAGATATTTATATTATGGAACGTGAGTTGTCCGTAGGAGCCCCTCATGAGTCTGTACACCCCCAGTGAGCGTAGTCGACTATAAACAGGGATCAGGCTGCACGCCGCAACAGGTATTGTATAGTGCTGAGTGATTGAGTGTGCTGAGCACAGTGAGAGAGAATGCGAGACAATGAGATTGAGTACTCTGAGAGAGTGTGAGTA